AAAAAAATTATTAGAGTTAGGCCTGGCACATAACCTAAGAAATATGGGTATGTTAATCATTGTAAGCTATTCATTTTATCACGATCTTCTGCTTCACCTGTGAAATGCTTGATTAGCAGTCTTCTCAGACCATAAACATTTTCATCTTTGATATAAAAGCGGAGAGTCACAGAACAGAATCATGTTCTTAAAAACTCAAAAAGCGAGCACTAAATTCATTGTCTTAATTCTGCACTCCTCTGTTAAGTCTTAATGAGACCTCTGTTTGCAATAAAATGCTGCTGAGACAGGCAACTTCAGAAACAAAAAGTCAAAATTTGGAAGGGTATCAATGTTCTGCAGCAATTTTCAAAACTGATACGTGATAAGCTGTCTGGAAAACTTAATGGCCCTCAAAGGAAGTGAGTAACTTACTTTCTACTCAGAGGCAAGATTACATCTGTCAATATATCAATGCAGAAGTTAGTGATCAATGTTCAATGTCCAGTTAATGTTAAATGTAAACAAACACCTCACAGCCTCCTGAAGGCAGGGAGTCTTAATCACAGGAATCACCAAAAACGCATTCACATCTCGAGTGGACTGATTCGTAAAAAACAAAGTATTTGCCTGCTCCTTAAGCTGCTGCAATAAGACAGCTGACATTTGACAAGTACTGTGTATAATAACTAAATAAGCCTAATTGGGTCACATGCACATTGAAAAACCACTCCGCAGATAACTGTTCAAGTACCCTTTAGGTGAGAAGTAGGGGGAGAGCAGTCAGATAGAACTCCATGTGGTCTGACGAAGGGCCCTGGCTCCAGGGCCAATGGTGAGCTGTTTCCTAGGGGCACAAACAGGAGCGGAAAGCTCTGTCACATCTGCCCAGGCAAGTTTATAGACATTACAGAGCCTGACAGGGAACACGAGCCATTTTAATGTGAGTTCTGCCACAGTTTCACCACCTTACTAATGATACTGTGACATAGACACCTACTGCCCATAATCCTGTCTCATGTCTTAAGTAGATTAGAATCATTACTTTATTAACAAATACTAAGGTGGCCGGCATAGCAGCATCTTAAGCACATAATCTTGAGATTTCCAATCATGAGCAACATAGGACTGTCATCTGCATGACTCTTGAGCAAATATCAAAGTCTATCACATTCCTGTCCTGGAGTTCTCAAAAACTTCAATGCATAAAACTAACTTTTAGATAAATACTCTATTCACAATGCCTTCTCTTGGAGTACAAAGAGGTGGACAGATACACAAGCGTGTTCATCACAGTCTGTATGGACCCACAATCCTATTGTTATAATTCTATTTTTCATTGAAACTTTTCTTGTGTAATTTCTTTTAAAATTTATTTGTTTAAGCATACAGAACTGGGATGCAGGCGAGAGATGCAGGGGTGGTGAGAGGATTCACCAGACAGAGTGGGGAACAGAACAGGCAGACTGACAAAGTACACTGCTGAG